CCCTCTGCCGCCGCCGTCTACTGCGCAGGCGCACCGGGCACCCGCCCGCCGCGCGCGGGGCCCTGAGGGCCACGGCGCAAGCGTCAAGGCTGGCGACCCCGCTCGCGCTCGCCGGCGCATTGGGACTTCCACGCTCCCTTCCTCTCTCTCACGCCCCCTCCCGGTCGCCCGCTCGCACTTGCGCAGAACAAGCACGCTCGCTTTCTTCGCCCTGACGGGCCCCCGCCCCCGCTTTCTTGCCCCGCCCCACAACACTGATTGCTAACCAATCGTGGGAAAGGAGGGACCGGGCTCGCTCAGTCGGATTGGATGGCGGCTGCTCCTGGTCAGGCCACACCCACCTCACCACTGGGAGCCCCGCTCGGCTTGGACAAATTAGGGATGGGCATGCGCCTGAATGACTGGTCACTTTCCCGTGCGCGCGCTTTGTCTTTCTCCGTGCGCACGCTCCAAAAGGAAAGTCGGCGGGCAGGGTGCCTGGTGCGCGTGCGCTGTATTCAAGCGTGTTTCGAATCTCTTTGCAGCTCCTTAACTTTGTGCTATGTAGGCGATTTAAGTCACGGTTTGTGCCTTGAATATGTTACTAGGGGATCCAGATCAAGCATGTAATGCAACGTTTCCGAATCAGGACGTCGAGGTTAGAGTGGCAGAAAACGTGCTATCTAAACGCTGAGGAAATTCAAAATACTTGCTAAATGCAATTGCTAAGGAGTATGGGGACTTGGGGAGCAACTTCAGGTTCCTTTCCTCATCGAGTGGATTCAGACACCTAGCGACATGATAGGGCAGAGTAGAATGACCCCCACAGATTTTTCCAATGCTATAAATCTCTATGGAAGCTGACTGTTCCTTCCAAGTTAAGTGTTTTAAGCTGTGCACAACCAGGGCGCCTTCCGTAAAGATTAAAGCGCTATGGAGCATTTCGACTCCATAACACATGGGCCCGCCATGAATCAGAGCCAACTCCGATGGCAACAAGTTCAACCCCTCTGTTGAGTGCTAGGGGTGCAAAGATAAGACTTTCTTCTTAATTTCAAGGCGTTTCCAATATATTACGAAAGGGCCAGATATTTAAACAAATACACAGGATGTGAAAATGTGAGTGGATACCTGGAGATAAGAACTGGGGCAGGGAGCAGGGAGGGAGGGGGAAATGAGGAGCTAATACCAAGGGCTCAAGGAGAAAGCAAATTCTTTGAGAATGTCGATGGCAACAAATGTACAAGTGTGCTTGAATGGATGGATGGATGGATTGTGATCAGAGTTGTACAAGCCCCCCCAAAAATGATTTAAAACGAAAAAGTGCAGGAGAATGGTTGGTTGTTCTTTAGAGTGGGCCTGGAATACCACACACAGGAGGTGATGCAGACTGGTATTTTGAGGAATGAGCAAGAGTTTGCTCTAGGAAAAGTGTGGTAAGAGAATTCGTGATAAAGAAAACAATGTGCAGAGGAACAAAAAGAGCAGGTCCTTCACTGAGCTTAAACTTGAGTTTGGTGTGAAGCTTCCTGAAACTGACTTTTATCAGTTGATGGCAGCTATTGAAAGCATTTAAGCAACAGGGTCATTTAAAATTTGCATTTTTAAAATCATTTCATTGGGGCGCATACAATTCATCACAATACATAGATCAGTTGTGTAAAGCACACCTATACATTTGTTGCCCTCATCATTCCCAAAATTTGCTTTCCTCTTGGGTTCCCGGAATCAGCTCATTTTCCTTTATCCCTCTCCCCCTCCCTCCCCCAAAATTTGCATTTTACAACTGTAATGGATAAAGCAATAGGGTCATTTAAAATTTGCATTTTACAACTGTGGTGAATAAATTGTAGAGTAAGGGCAAGTGAAGGCACTAGGGTTTTTTAGGAGTTGTTGCCAGTGAGAGAGAGAGAGAGAGAGAGAGAGATTGACCTAGATTAGGGCTATGGGTTGAATTTGAACCTGTTAGGTTTTAATCAACAATAATTGGTGATGAGGTAAAGTGGGATTAGGAGCCAGTGAAGACTGGCATGAACATAAAGCAACTCTCAGATTCCTAACCTGGCTTACCTGGTGAATGATGATGCCAACCACAGAAAAGAGAACACTGAATTTGAAGAACCGAGGGTGGGTCTTGGAGGTAGAATATTCCCTTAGCTTAAAAAAAAAAAGTATCTCAGATTCTGGTTTACGTACAATTTCCTTAGTCTTCCACTAGGCCCACCCTAGGTGGTGGTTGTCAGGTGTCATTGAGCTGGCCCTGATTCATAGCGACCCAAATGAAACACTGCCCTGTCCTGCACCCTCCTCACAATTGTTGTAGCTGAGCCCATTCCATCTGATTGAGAGGCTTCCTCTTTGTCACTACTTTACCTAGCACAGTGTCCTTGCCCGGGGCCTGGTCTCTCCTGATAACACGTCCAAAGTGCTTGGGAGGCTGTCTCATCACCCTTGAGTCTAAGAAGCATTCTGACTGTACTTCTTTCTTCTCCATTTTCCTTATTCATTATCCAACTTTTACATACATACCTTTGAAGCAACTGCAAACCCTGTGGCTTGGGCCAGACACACCTTAATCCTCAAAGAAACATCTTTAGCCCTTCAAAGATTTCTAATGAGCACATTTACCCAAAGCAAAATGTTCTCTTCAAGACTGCTTCCATGAGTGTTAGTTGTGAATCCCAGTACAATGAAATCCCTGACGACTTCAAGGTTTTCTCCATTTATCATCATGGAGATGATGATCCTTTCATGTGAACTATTGGTCCAGTTGTAAGGATTTTTTTCTTCTTTACATTGAGTTCCAATCCATAGTGAACACAATAGAGTTTCATTTTCATTAGCAAGTGCGTCAAGTCCTCCTCATTTTCAGCAAGCAAGGTTGCATCATCTGTATATCACAGATTATTAACAATCCTTCCTCTGATTCTTCTTCATGTACTCCAGCTTCTTGTATTACTAGCATACAGATTGAATGCGTGTGGTGAAAGGATACAACTCTGATACACATCTTTCCTGATTTTAACCGTGTAGCATATCCTCCTATTCTATTAGAACGATCACCTCTTGCTCAATGTCCCAGCTCTACAACTCTTATTCTTCTCAATGTTATCTGCAGTTATCTACACAGTGGAATGTCAGTAAAACACATGTAAACACGTTGCTGGTATTCTCTGTTTTCAGCCAAGATCCATCTGATGTCAACAATGATATCAGTCATGCCACATCTCTTCTGAATGCAGCTTGCATTGTTGGCAGTTCCCTGACCAAATACTGTTGCCATGATTTTTTAAAGTTATCTTCAGCAAAATTTTACTTGCATGTGATGGGAATGGTATTGTTCATTTCTGCATTCTGTTAGGTCACCTTTCTTTGGAACAGGCACAAAGAGTATCTCTTG